CAATTCAATGTGGGGGGAAGAGGAGGGTGGCGTTTCCAGTCGGAGTAATAAGGGAGGGGGTGGTTTCGAGCCAACGGAAATGGGGAATGGGAGGAGGGTGGGCTGCGCAGGTGGCGAAAAGGGGGGTGGGGTGAGATTGCAGGTGCTTGGCGATTCCCTGGCCGCCAGCTGGGGGGGAGATTGGTAGTCGACGACAGGGGGGCTGACAGTGGGTGACTGGGTGGGGGGAGGGTGGCTGACTATTGGGGTTTTTTTTTTAATAAAATCTTAACGAAACCCTAACGTATTTCGTTAGGTGGCATTGCAATTTAAAAAAGTAATTTTTTTGGGTAGCAAAATAAAATAATTTTTGTGGGTAGTAAAAGTGATAATTGATAAAGGGATGTTTTTTTTAAGTAGCAAAAGTGAAACTTTCCTAAAATCAAGAATTCAAGGTTAATTTAAGGCTAAATTGACTTTTACTACCAACAAAAGTCATGTTTTTGAATTTTGCTACCCATTTTAAAATTTATTAAATTTTACTACCACCAAAATTCACTTTTTTTTAATTTTGGTACCACTTAACAGATTTGGTTAGGTTTTTGGTTGAATAATAATTTTTATATTGAAAAAAATTAAAAAAAATAAAAAAAATACAAAAAAAAGAAAAACCCAGCCCCTCCCCTTTCCCCAACCCAGCCACCCTAAACCCAACCCCTCTAACCCGTCGACCACCCAAACCCCCCTCCCTGCCGGCGGCCGGTGCCCAGAGGTGCGCCCGGCGCCGGCGAACACCACCCCCCCCCCTTACCCCCACCCACACAGCCTAGCCCCCTCCCTTTCCCCATTCTCGTTGCCCCACCACCACCGTAAAACCCAAAAAACCCCCCTCTCCCGTTCCCCACGCCGGGAAAAGTCTCGTCCCCCTACCCCACTCGTCGGAATTTAGGGTGGGGTAGGGGGACGAGGCTTTTTCCGACATGGGGGAACGAGAGAGGGGTTATTTTAAGGTTTCACGGTGGTGGGGGGCAACGGGAATGGGGAAAGGGAGGGGGCTGGGCTGCATGGGTGGGGGTAAGGGAGGGGGGCGGTGTTTGCCGGCGCCGGACGCACCTCTGGGCACCGGCCGCCAGCAGGGAGGGGGGGTTTGGGTGGCTGATGGGTTAGGGGGGTGGGTATAGGGTGGCTGAAGAGGAGGGGAGGGGGGCTGACAAGTTTTTTTTTTTAAGTTTTTTCTTTTTTTTATTATTTTTTCTTTTTTTTTAATAAATTAAAACATTATTTAATTATATAATGGGCCCCACTTAACGGAATCCTTTTCCACTTAACGGAATCCTTTTAAGATCCCGTTAAGTGGTAGCAAAATTTAAAAAAAGTGATTTTTGGTGGTAGTAAAATTTAATAAATTTTAAAACTGGTAGCAAAATTCAAATTCATGACTTTTGCTGGTAGCAAAAGTCAATTTAGCCTTAATTTAATTTAATTTTCCTTTATTAATTTTCTTCTCTTTTTTCTTCCTCTTGCGTGAGAAGCACGGGAAGCGCTTCAACGTGCTGCTTCACGCTGCTGCTGTCGCGCCTCAAGTCGCCGGAAACCGGCACCCCTCCACTGCCGGCGTACCTCCTAGCCGGCCGACCACCATCCCTTGGCCTTCTCTCTCCTCCAAAAGCGCCTTCATCCTTGTACGTTCTGTTTCGCGCGCAATCCATTCTAACTGTATATAGAGAGTAGCTCTGTTTTTTTAGTTTAACCCTATAAATCACTTCTTATTTTTATCTTTTTTTTTTATTTGTCAATTTTGTTTGTTTTCTAGTTTAAACCCTTGAAATTTGGGTGAATACTATCAGTGGGGGACCCACGTGTAGTCATAGTGGGTCCGCGGACAACCTATTATTTTATATAAAAAAAACTAAATATCAAGAGGTTTAGCTTGCAGCCTAGTGGTTTTTTTCCTATTCCACCACACACGAGATGTGGGTTCAAATCCCATTACTCACAAAATTTTTCTTTTTTTGCTTTACAACTAGGGGTGAGCAAAGATCCAGGGTACCCGGTACCGGACCCGGAACCGGCTAGGACCCGCTGGGTCCGGACCCAGAACTGGTCTCATCGGTTCCGGGACCAGGCCCAAAATTTTGGACCCGATTGTAACCAGTTTCGGTTCCAAATCCTAAAATTTTGGACCCGGTACCCACTGGGCACCCGATTGTATATGATGTAGTATGTGAATTGTTTGTGTTTTTAAGAAACTAAAGAGTTATGTACAACCCATTTTAATTTCTAACCCAGTTGCTTATAAAACTCTCAACTCACTATCAAACAAAACCCTAAAACTTCTAGATTTTTCTCTCCACTCTACTATACCGGTTACCCAACATATATTGTACAGAATATATTTTAAAAAACAAAATATTTTGAACGTAATCAATTAGTAAAATAAAGAAATATTAATATTTAATATAATTAAAATAGCTTAATGTATATAAAAATATAAGTATTAAACTCTAAAAGTAAAAATAAATCAAAAAAAAAAAAATTATGATTTGTATTATATTTCAACACTTATATATATAAGTGGGTACCCGGAATCGGAACCGGTACCCGGCGGAACCAATTGCAATTCCTAAATTTTAGGACTCAGATGTACCGTTTCCACTTTCGGTTCCAAATTTTAGGACCCAATCCCAAGTCCGGATTTTAAAATTTTAATCGGGTACCCGATTTGCTCACCCCTATTTACAACCTCACTTTCAATTTTCAAGATTTAGGCATTGTTTAGTTCACCTGATTTAAGCTGATCTGATCTGATCTGAACTTATTTTTTCTGATCTGATCTGATCTGAACTTATATTTTCTAATCTGATCTGATCTGAACTTATTTTTTCTGATCTGATCTGATCTAAACTTATTTTTCTGATTTGAACTTATTTTAATTATTTCAATATTCTACTTTTAATGTTAATCAATATTAATGTTTAATTATTATTGTTATGATTATTATTATGATTATTATTATTATTATTATTATTATTATATTATATTATATTATATTATATTATATTATATTATATTATATTATATTATATTATATTATATTATATTATATTATATTATATTATATTATATTATATTATATTATATTATATTATATTATATTATATTATATTATATTATATTATATTATATTATATTATATTATATTATATTATATTATATTATATTATATTATATTATATTATATTATATTATATTATATTATATTATATTATATTATATTATATTATATTATATTATATTATATTATATTATATTATATTATATTATATTATATTATATTATATTATAATAATAATAATAATAATAATAATAATAATATCATTATTGTTAATGGAATTGTTTCTAAAATTTCAAAAGCTGAGATTGTTTCTGGAAGATGGAGCAAAGGTGAGATTATTAGGTTTCATTTTCCTTTTTTTATTTAAGCTTTTATATTTAACTTGTTTAGGGTGTTTAAGTGTTTTTTTATTCATTTGTTCCTCTACTGAACTTTTTTTTTGTTGATAAAGAAAAAGACTCTACCGAGTCGGAACCTCTCATAGGTTCTTCCGACTAGAGCTGTCAAAAGCTGACCCGAACCCGATTATTAACTGACCCATCTAAACCCGAAAAAATGATGACCCGAACCCGATATGACCCGACCTGAAACCAACCCTAGACCCGAGTTAACCCGAGTATTTGAGACCCGAACCCGAACATGAACCGAACTGGAGCTGACCTGACCCGAATATAACCCATAAAATATTGACTTGAACCGAACCCGACCTGAACCGAAATTGACCCAAATCCGTTTTAACCCGTCAAAACCCGAATTTAACCTAACCTAAATTCAACCCGACCTATTCCTAACCCGACCCGAATTTAACCCGACCTATTACTAACCCGACCCGAATTTAACCCGAACTATTACTAGCCCGACCCAAAATTCAACCCGATCTGTCACTAACCCGACCCGAAATCAACCCGACTTGTTATTGACCCGAAATTAACAAGCAATCTAGGATTACATCATATCTTGTTTTTTCTTTCCCTAATTTTAACCCGATCTGTCACTAACCCAACCTATTAGTAACCCGACCAGAATTTTTTGATAACATAAATTAAATTATAGTTACTTATATATTTCATGCATGAAACTAATAATTTCAAAGTGCTCTTGATCATAGTGTAATGGCTGGTAGGGTAGCATGGTCTGATGACAGTACAAAATATTATCTAGTAGATTCTGGATATCCGAATACCGTTGGATATTTGAGTCCAATAAAAGATAAAGATATTAGAACCCATTTGCCCGAATTTCGAAATGGTCCACCACCACAAGGCATACTTGAACTTTTTAATTATCTTCACTTCGAACAACGATCGAGAGATGTTTTGGACAATTAAAATCTCGATGGAAAATATTGACAATGATGCCAAATATGGACACTAAACATCAATTGGCAATTATGGTTGCTACATTCACACTTCACAATTTTATTCGATTACATGAGTTGGATATACCCATTGATAGCGGTATAGAAATCAAACCAAGAGCAGATTATGATTTGTTTAACGAGAATCGTAAAGCTGTAATGAAAGAAGTACAACTTAATATAGCGAAGGAAATTTGGAACTTCTTGTAATGAAAATTATATTTGTAAACGTTTATGATTTGGAGCTTATAATGAAATTTTAATTATTATCGTTTATTGTTTGTGCTATTTAATAACATAGAAAATGTAGTTAGTTCAAACAAACGATAAAATCAAATCTGATACATCATAAATCAATATAAATCAATAATAATTTATTTTTGATCTGATCTGATCTGAATTTATTTTTTCTGGTCTGATTTAATCTGAACTTATTTTTTCTGATCTGATCTGAACTTATTTTTTCTGATCTGATCTGAAATTATTTTTTCTGATCTGATCTGAACTTATTTTTTTTTGAAATAAGTAAAAATAAGGTGACCACTCCTTGTTCTCAACTTCTCACAGTCGCCTATTAGCTTCAGTCCGTCAGGCGTTGAGGCGTGAGAACAGAGGCGTCACTTCAGTCCGTCTGTCCCGCAACCGCAGCAACCCCGTCGCCGTTCACCGGCCGTTTTTCGTGCTCCATCACTCCTTGTTCTCACCGTCGGCCGTCGCCTATATAAGCTTCGTCCTTCAGGCTCAGGCGTGACTCGTGACTTCGTGAGGCGCACTTCAGTCCTTCTGTGAATTCGATTTTTTTTTGAGGTTAGTTTTAAACTTTTAATTTACACAATTACATTGCAATAATATATAAATTGATTAGATCTATATCAAATCATCAGTTTAAATGTTTAATTATCAAAATTATCAGATTATCTGTATATCACCGATTCACTGTATGAGTTGTTTTTTTTTTTTTTTTTTTTTTTTTTGGGTGAAATTTCTTGATTTTATTAGAGCTTGATTATCTGTATGACTTTATCAGAGCTTGAATGTTATGACTTGATTATCGTCACTTGATTATCTGTATGATTTTATTAATGCTTGAATGTTGTGATTTGTGAATGTGAGTTGTGGCCGATATTTGACCATTTGAGCCCTATTATAGATTTATAGTATTATTTCTATTTAATTGATAAATGATAATAGTTGTCCAACTTGCTTATTAGCTATTGAGAATGGTGATTGCTAATTTGGAGATTTGGGGTTGAAGGGTGGACAATGTATTTTTTTTTGTTCATTATACAAGATTTGGCTATTTGTTGATACTTTATGCGGTCGATGGACGATGATGGGACAACCTATTAATCAAATCCTGGATCCGCCACTGAATACTATAATTTGGGTTGATTAAATTGTGGGGTTTTTTGGAAACATTAATCTAATAATCTTGCGTGGGCTGTATAAATATTATCTTTTGAAAATTTTCTCTATAATATCTAAATATCATTGCAGTGTTCTCTTGAGTCTTTCTCAATTGACGCGTTTGATCGGAGCTTTCTCTCCTCTAATGAAGCATAAGCAGCTTTCAAGGTAAGATTGCTGGTTTAAACCGTGAATTTAATTGTTAATTTAGGTAATTTATCGTAATTTGTTGATGTAATGTAATGTAATGTATTGCTGCTGCTGCTAAATTTAGGTCTTCCAAAGCGAATTCCAATGGTGGCAGTGAAATTACAGAGAAATCTCGAGTTTGTGTGAAGAATTTGCCAAAATACCTTACTTTGAATCGTTTCAAAGCTCACTTTACCCAAATAGGGGAGCTCACTGATGCCATGCTTCTCCGTACCAAGTATTTTTCTTGCGTCTTCAATTTAAATTACTTCGTCCGTTACACGGTATTTGCAACGATTTGACATGAATAGTTGCAAATAATATGATATAGAAGTAGTATATTTCTTAAGCATGAACTAAATATTAATAACACTAATCGATGCTTGATTTGGACACAAATCCTTGAATCTTAAGTACTATTTTAGAGAATGCTTATACTTCTTATATGCAATACTACACTTAGGGTTGCATATATCATAACCGTTATATTTTTTTTACTAATTTGTTAGAGACGGGACGAGTAGGCGTATGGGCTTCCTTGGGTACAGGACTGAGCAACAAGCGGAAGAGGCTATCAAATATTTCAACAAATCCTATGTAGATTGCTGCAGAATTGTTTGTGAGGTTTGCTTTCCTGCTTCAAACAATAATTAATCCTCAATTACTATTCTGTTGTTGACCACTATACTTGTTTATGTACTATTTGGAGTCACTGCATTGTGCGTGTAATATATAGTTAGATTGGAGCAAATTACTTTATATAGATGGAGGAAGAGATAAAAGTGATGATCATTGATAGTTATTTTGTGGATGTACCATATAAGCTAAGCAGTTGCCCTTTTGGAGTTTATGGGAGGAATATGTAACAAGTGAAACTGTGAATTTTTAATTTTTTTTTTAATTTGTTTTTTAATTAAACAAGCAAAACTCTAATAGTTCCATCATAATTTTGAAAAAAAAAGGGAAATTTGTTCAAGTGAAAATTCTCAACCAAATGTACCCTTTGGATCTAAATAGAGCATAGATAAACTGCTATGACTATAATATGGATTTGGTTCGATTGGTTATAATGTGGATTTGTTTGGTGAATATTAAAATAACAAGGGGTAAGATAGAAGTTATAATGTTGGGTTTCGAGTTGTGGGTGCAAGCAAAGATGTAGACTTTGAGAAGAATTAGGTATAATAAAAGTAATAATATTGCTTATCTGTTCATGGCATTTGAACAACTTGAAAATTTTGATTATTTAAGTAGAAGAGGACAATGCAGAAGCACAGTATGGCACAATCAAAACATTAGATGGAGTTTAGGCACCAAAGTCTTCTAGTAGACTATTAGGAGTTTAGTTTTGATGAAATTGACCTGTAATTTCTGCATTGACCAATATAACATAATTTACTTCTAAATCTAATGCTTTGATGGAAAAATTACTGCTGCCACTACTAAAACTTTTCACCTGGTTGAAAAAATAGTGTTGTCACTACAAAGACTCTTCACCTGTACATACATACTTCTGCCGTTCCTTTTTTATTGCAACGCTTTGACTTGATGTTCAGCACATGATGAAGAATCTTTCATGGTATGTTGTCAGGTTGGTTGGAAATCTGCAGATCCAAATATTCCTCGCCCTTGGAGTCGGTACTCAAAGGAGAAAGAGAATTCTGTTGAAAAAAATATATTGGTTTCTGGCATTGATGCTAAAATAGAAAGGAAGACCAACAACAATATTAATGAAAGTTATGATCCTAAGCTTCAAGAATTTCTCCAAGTTATGAGGCCATGTTCTAAAAGAAAATTTTGGGCCAATGATCTAGAATCTCCTATGTGTAAACAAGCTTGTACCGCAAGAGAGAAGCCTGCTCAGTTAAATCAACAAGTTTGGAATAAGTCCATAGAAATAGATAAAAGTGCTCAAAAGGAGGGTGGGATGCATCATGAAAACCCAACAAAATCTCAAAAAATGGCTTGTGATTCTTCAGATATGGATTACTTTAAAAGCAGAATTAGAAAAGACTGGTCTGATTCACAAAGTGATACTGATGAAAATGGTATTAATTTAAGTCAGGGTAATGGTTGTCCTCTTCGAGGAATAATTCAGGAGCAGCAGGATATTCATGGAAACTTTGATTTAAAGAAACAAGAATGTATGCTAAAAGGTGGTCTTCACGATGAATCGATAAACTTTGGTAACCAAAGTTTTCATTTAGAAGATGCAGACAAAATGCTTCAAACCTCTCGTATTTATGTTTGGAATCTTCCCTATGCTGCAACGTTAGTCTTCTTGACTTGTTGTAGACTTGTGGGTTTTGATTGTTTTGTAAATATTGTCATCCTAATCCTTTTGGTTTGATGTGCATTACATATTTGATAGGGAAGATGAAGTGGAAGAGTTCTTTAATAAATTTGGAAAGGTCAAAGATGTCCATTTAGTCATTGATAAAGAGACTAAACAACCTAGAGGTTTTGGCTATGTTCATTATAACTCACCAGAAGAAGCTGCAAGGTATAATTCTAAGGCTCATCTGATGTGAATTATGCTGTTCAGTTATAGTTGGATGTTTGGTCTTGCAAATCTTGGTTAAGGGTAATAACTCTGATTTTTATTGGTGGAGATATAAAAGCTGTGCTTCTTGACTTGCAGTTACAAGTGATAACCATCAATGATGTAGTATAGTTTTTTCTCAAATCCAGTGTGTGCGAGAAGTAGAGATTTGATCCTCCCTTATGTTTATAGTTATGTAAAATACATATATATATATATATAATAATGTACTTGTCATGGTGTTGTCCCCCTCGATTCAGGGTACTTGGTGATCATATTTTCCAGGGGAGAGTTCTTCATGTAGTTCCAGCAGAAAATGCACGTGGTTTAAATAATTTAGAGTAAGCTTCTTTAAGGTCTGCTGTTAATTTATTTTATGCTAAATTTATAAATGTGGGTTTGATTCTTGATTCAACATCATACCAGAAACCATGTACCTGAGGGAAAAGGCAAAACATATAAACAACATAAGGAGGAAAAGAGGAAGGCCTTGGAAGCAAGTGGTGATACTCGAGCATGGAATACTTTGTTTATGCGTGCTGATACTGTATGCTCTATATTCTAATCATATTATATATAATTATCATTATGATTTAAGCTAAAGAATTTTAGTCATTGCTAATTGTCTAAGGGATGTTGATATGTTGCTCCTTGCTATGTGTATCTGGAAATTTTGAAGACCTAAAAAAAAATTGGTTCCATTTCACTAATTCACTATCCCCTCCCATCTTAAATTTTTCCCTATTCCCTTCTCCTCACCCTTCCCATCCTCCGACAACCATGACCGCCATCCCACCACTAATGCCGCCTCCACAACCTCCACCTGTCCCACGTCATCTTCTTTAATAGCACTGCTGCACTGGTTCTTATCTTTGACACATTTTACCATGCCAATATCCCTCCTAGCCTCTTGTCTTCTCTTCACCATCCTATAAATGATTATGGGGGTGTTGTGGCTGCTTATATTAGTGGTGGTCTGGTGGGTGGCTTCCGTTACTGAGGGTGGAGGGACAATTTGATTGATATGATGATGGTTTTAATGGTGCTGTGATTTTAGGATAATTGTTTGCCTTTAGATCCACTTTTCCATTTATGCTTGCTTCTTGTACTTACTTTCATTCATATCTGCTCTTAAGGTCATATATTCAAGTTTACTTTTTTAATAAGAAACACTTAGAGGTTTTCCTTCTTTTTTCCCCTCTTTTCATGACTACATAGGCTTATTTGTATGATCTACTTCTTTAGAAGAAAAGTAAATATGTCTAGATAGGTGTCCTATATCAGAACCAAATTATACAATTATGTTAGCTTAGCATACTAAAGCAATTGTATATCACAGGAGGCACGTCTAATAAATGTCATCTATGTCCTGCCATCTTGATGTCGGTATTATCTGCATGAGTCTATCTTGGAGCTTTCAATTAAAATAGTGGTTGAACCCTTTCCTCTCAGATTTTTTCCAGAAACTAAATTGTTGTCTTCTCTGAACATTCATTATTGCTACCAGTAACTATTGTATTTGAGCAATCATTGGGACTTATTATCTGGTTCTACACATTTTACTTTTGGTATTTGAGCAATCATTGGGACTTATTATCTGGTTCTACACATTTTACTTTTGTAGTGTATGTGCATTCTCAACTCTGTGTTCTGCTTATGGCATGAAGAGTAAGAACTAACTTTATATCAGTGACTTGGAAACACGAACAAATGCCTTGTAGAAAACTTCTTTTCTACTAATACTACCTCAGTTTCATATTGTTTGCAACCAAGTGGTATTATTTGTGATACATAAATTATTCCTTTGTTGCAAATAATACGAAATGGAGGTAGTATATGGTTCTTTGAGAATCTTGCTTCTTGCTTTTACAAGCATTTAATTATTTGGCATCCTGGAAAGAGCACTTTTGGTTTGGAACTCTGTGCATCAGAATTGTGAGGAACTTTTAAACTGAACTATTTTTGCTAATTAGAGTGTCAGTTCAACAATGGCTTTAGATTATGAATTTTGCTGGATGCTTTTAGAAAATGAGCATCCATCTCCTTTTCTCAGTTAGCTCTTTGCATGACTTCTCTGTGCTTTACTGTCTGTTATGTCTATGCCTTCTCCAATAATCTAGCTTTTATACATCAGTTGCTCCGATTTTTTTGCAGATTGTTGAGAATTTGGCTAGGAAATACGGGGTCAGTAAGAGTGACTTGCTAGATCGTGAAGCTGATGATGTTGCTGTACGCATTGCTCTTGGAGAAACTAGTATTATTGCAGAAACTAAGAAAGCTCTAACAAAAGCTGGAGTAAATGTGGTTTCCTTGGAGGAATTTGCTGCTAGGAAATCTGAAGGTGCTAATAGAAGCAACCATGTCCTACTAGTCAAGAATTTGCCTTTCAGTTCAAGCAAAGATGAACTCTCTGAAATGTTTGGCAGATTTGGGAGTCTAGACAATGTAATTTTTCCTCCAACAAGAACATTGGCGTTGGTACGACAATCTTATGCTAATTGTAGTTTATTGGTGCTTCTGTAAGGTGCATAATACCAATATGTTCAACTTCTGGTTTGATGATTTATCTCAGATAGTCGATTTGCTGTTCTTGTTAGTATCTCGTTTTGTTACTTCTGTATCCTCACTATACAATATCACTTCACCTTACTTCACCTTTTCTAATCTCGCTATGTTTTTCTTGTTGATTTTGTTTTTGGTTAAAATTATGATAGTTGACTTTACTTGCTATGAATGGCTGAGAGCAATATATAGGTCCTCATTGCTTCCTTAATGTTTTTTACTAGGTTATCTTTGTTGAACCAGCTGAAGCTCGTGCTGCTTTCAATTGCCTCCGTTACAAGCGTTACAGGCAAGTGCTTGTTTGTTCTTTTTTTCATGCTTCATGTGCCTATCTATCTCTGAAACAGGAAATTGGTAGGTTATTTCGTTTCTAATTTTGCCATCTCATCGATCTGATATTAATCACCTCAAATAAATAATGAAAGTGGTGAGATAACAAGATGTGAATTATTTGGACACTGTATGAGACACTATGTGGGATAGAGGTTAAACTATTTACTCTTCAAATCAAAATTCCTTATTCCATCTCATGCACCATTATTACCGGACTCTAGATCATGGCGTGAAATGCACATTCTAAGAGGCCATTTCCAAGTCTAATGCTGGTACTCGTGCTGTGAGATTTTGATGGCAGTAGATCAACTTGAGATGTTTGTATGTTCTAGTATTAGAGGAACTTATTTAGAAGGGGACAAAACAATGAACTGTCAGATTCAATCATAATGCTTCTCAAAATTTTCCCCCTTTTTGTGGGATTTAGGACATCCACTTACTTCCTATGCTCATATCAACTAAACAACTCTTCAAACTTTTACTTCCTAGGAATTTGTGGTTCCCCTGAATTTAGCTGTCAACCTAACTTACATATGTGCTCAATACTGGGGACTTTAATAAAGTTACAAATTACTACGGAGTAGCATTCTTGCTTTCCCTTGAATAGCTATTAATTTTCTCTCAAAATCATATCAATATAAGGACCCAGTTCCTACAATCTCACTATAAATAATATATTATACTTTATTTCATCTCGAATATATATGCCTTATTTCACCATGTTGAATTTCTGAGCTTACAGTTATTTCTGCCTCTTGATTGAGCTATTTCTGCCTTGTGATTGCATAAGATAGCCTGCTGACATACTTTTCATATCATTGCTGGAGCCACCTGACCTTAGAATATCCAGGTCAGGTGGCCTGGATCTATATAACTAGCTAATCTGTGCCTTTGAGAATTGAGATACCCTAAGACTGGGTTCACCTTAATAGCTCCATTTTCTTGAAATTTTGGCAAGTGGTGTTGACAAAGCCTCACTTGTTGATCTTGAATCTTGTAAGGAATGCATGCATATTTCTTTTTTGGAACTGAGATACCTTCTGTGTTTGCTTCACTTCCAAGCCCTATTCAATATTTTCTCTTTCTTTTGTGGGTGGAAAGTGACATTTTTGGACGTTGTTTCCTATCAAGTATATGATACATTGTCCATTGATATTTTGGGTTCAAGTATAATTGTCTTGTGCATGAGATTTAGATTGATATATTCCCTCCGTTCCAAATCATTGTTTGTTATCATAAACCTCATTGTGCCATTCTGTGGTCACATTCTACAACAGTGTCACAAATATTCTATAACACCTTTCCCTCAGGGATTCTATATTGTACTTGGAATGGGCTCCCAGCAATATCCTCTGTCAAGATCTGATGCCTAGTGATGACTCAAACAATGATGTTTCCGTGAAGAATCGAGAAGCTAAGGAAGTTTTACTAAAGCAGCAGCAACCTGAGGAGATGAACCAAGTTGAAATTGATTCTGACGGAGCTGAGGTTGGATGCACTATATATTTATTATGTCGTGCTCATGAAGACACTTTTCTAAGTTTAATAAATGATTGATTGGCGGATTTCAGTTACGAACTCTGTATGTGAAGAACCTTCATTTTGGCACAACCGATGAAAAGCTGGGGAAGTATTTCAGGGAAAACGCGAATGAAGGAAAGGTTTTGAGTGCCAGGGTAAGTATTTTGGGCTATTCCACATTTGATATTATATATGTTAGTTTTGTTCTGTCTGTTTAGGCTTCTGGTTGATGTTTTTAGGTTGTGAAGCACTTAGAAGGTGGGAAGTATGTCTCAAGTGGTTACGGGTTTGTGGAGTTTGATTCTTCAAAGACGGCAAATAATGTTCTTAGGGAATTACAGGTAGGTATTACGGAATAGTATTTTGCATCAAGTTCATATCTATTAAAATGGGTTTAATTTTGTAGCCGAATTCTGTTATACTGCATCATGTAGGGGACTATATTGGATGGACATATGTTGAAGTTGCAACTTTCTCAGCCCAAGAAAGATACGAAAGCTCTTGAGAAAGTTGAGCAGGGTCAAAGTTCCACGAAATTAATAGTTAGAAACTTGCCGTTTGAAGCAACAAAGAAGGAGTTAAGGCAATTGTTCAGTCCTTTTGGTCAGGTAAGTGCCATGCTTTGTCCACCAGAGAAATATTAGTGATTGTGCTCATTTCCTATTATATTATAATAAAAAATGGGCACTTAATTTTGAGACGGAGGGAGTATGTTCTTAATATGATGAAGGTAGACAAAGGTTACTCTTTTATGTCTGTGTTCTATATATGACGAAGGTAGATAAGGGTTACTCTTATATATAGTTCAATTTCAACTCGGCTCTTATCTATGTTAAATTGTTAATACTAACACTTCAAATTAGTGATTGTTACAATAATCTATAATCTCATTGTATTTCCTGAACACACAAAAGTTGGTATAATTTAGACCCACACTTGGCTTGTTAAATATGATACAGGTAAAAAGTTTGAGGCTTCCGAAGAATTATGGGGGAGCAGAACACAGAGGGTTTGGTTTTGTGGAGTATTCCACTAAGCAAGAGGCCCGGGAAGCATTGAAAGCGCTATCCAGGATCCATTTTTATGGGCGGCCGATGGTATGAATTGTGGTCATTATTCATATGTTGTTTATGCCTTAGTTATACATTTTTGGTTATTGAAGTACACATGTTTTTTAACATAAGCTCTCTTCGGATTATCTGTGTTGTGACATCTTCTTTCAACTTTCAGGTTACAGAAAGAGCAAATGAAGACGAAACTTTGGGAGAACTACGAGCAAGAATAGCAGCTCAATACGCCGATGATTCAGAGAAGATTACTAAGAAACGAAAGATTATGTAGCTTCTTTAGTTAATTAAAGTCCTCTATTAACATGCCCATGTTTATCTTGCTTGATTGGGTACTTCATGAGCAAAGTTCGGGACAGTTTAAAGTCCTCTATTAACATGTTTATCATTGATTATAGTTTATCAATAGATCCGCCGTGGTCCAGTTTGTTTTGTGGGAGTTAATACTTGTTTTGATTCATCTAGATATCTGATACATTTCCTGTAATTTATGAAAGATCAATGATTATTATTATGTTTATTATTATTATTATAGTTTGTGTTTGGGTTTGATCAATTTGGATCGTCAGGTCAAGTCGAGCTGTAGAGTATCCTATATTCCTATGTGGTTCGGGTTTGAGTCGAGTCATATTTGGGTTGGATTACGTCGGGTCGTCGTCCTGCAAGTTGTGTTGCATCTAGATCGGGTTAGAAATAAGTCAGATTAAGTTCAGGTTTCAACGGGTTAAAATGAGTCAAAGTCGTTCTTGGGTTCCGATCAGGTATAATTTGCGGATAATTTTCAGATCAACTAGTGATTGATTGATAGAGAATAGCCATAAATGGTGATATATACGATAAAGAATGCCATGTTTTAAACTTAGAATTTAATTTTATATACTTTCGATATACATAAAGTAAACGTGTTACTCCGTATTACTTCCTATTCATTAAAAAAAAATTATTACTATTAATTAGTAAATATAATAGTATAAAAACTTGAATAAAATTATTAAATAAACTTCGAGTATATAGATGAGTTTGGGTCAAAACAGGTTAGATTGAATCGACTTTTTATCCGATCAATTTCAGGTCGACTTAAGTTCAGGTCAGGTCAAATCGGTTTAATTTGAGTTCAAGTCGGATCATATCAACTTCGGATTGAGTTCAGGCCGGGTAAAATAATTGATATCACAGTACTTTCTCTATTCTTTATTGCTTGCTACATTTTTCACATTTGTAATGTTTATATTAGCTAATTGCTATACATTTGTATTTGATAATATGTTATCTCTTTCTCCCTACTCATCACATGATTTTTTGAATTTTTTAAATATGTTTCTATCTCTTTCTTACCTCTTTCCTTAATGTGTGTGTGTCTCTCCACTATATGTAGTGATTAGTAAATGACTGAAGATGTATTTTATATATGTAACTTTATAACTCTAAAATGCTTTTTTTTTTTTTTTTTTTTTTTTTTTTTTTTTAATGAACCTATTTTAATTATCTTTAGACAATGCCATCTAACAAAATTCTCGTGTTATTACATAATTCATCTCTATCAATTAGATGACACATGTTAACTTTTGACATTATTTATAAACTCTACTTTGACTAATTTTTGTAATTTATAGATAAGAAAAATATAGCTATATGGTATCTTGATTAGAACCCTCTTAATGTGTATTTTCAAAATAACTTTTTCCTAACTTTTTTTTTATAATTTTAATTATTGATAATTAAGAATGTTTACGATTGAATTTATGCATCGACAAACGTAATATAAGATAAGAATGGTGAAGTATTAATATTAATATAGATTAATACTCCGTATTCTGTACTTCGTATTTGTTTGTATTAAAAAAAAGCAAAAACAAATATTTGTGAAATAATAACAAATTCTGGAATGTATACGTGATATAAGTGCCCGCAAGGTTAACACCCTTGTGTATTGTGAGAGTTAAAAAAATGAAGTATTATACGTACTCGTTCGAGCAAATTAGCGGGAAACAAAACTTCAGTTCTCTCTCTTCTTCCTTTTTCATATGCTTCTCTTCTCTCTCTAAAAAATTTGAAAAACAGCTAACACCTGGATTTAGGTAAATTTTCTTCTTCATTCTATTAAATTCACCATTTCTATTGTTACTACTGATACAATGACTGCCAGCTCAAATCTTACAGAAAAAGTTTGTTATAACAATTCTGCTTAGGTGGCATTCTGTTATACCCATTTCCTTACTTACAAGGAGTTTGTTACAATTCTGTTATGATGAAAAGAAGGGTTTGTTAATAGTTGTAATAGCTATATAAATATTCTCCTGTATCTTCTTTTCATTATTCATTCAATAAAAAATATCAGCTCATTTTCTCTCTCTAATTCTTCTTCTTCTTTTGCTACTGTAATTCTGATGTTCTTCCTGAATCAATTCACTCTGTGAATTTCAATATGGTATCAGAGCAGGTTTGATTACTGCTTTCTGTGATTTCCGCATATCTTTCAATTTTTTTTTGATCGTTGATCATCTTTGAATCTGAAATTCAAAGCAATTTTTCTTTGATCAAAGTTTTTTTTTAGAGATTTTTTTTTTCAATAAAAAACATGGCAAACAATTCTCAAAATGGACAATCTGTTACACAAGATGTAGGTTCAATATACTACATTCATCCATCAGAGAATCCTACAGTTTCTCTGGTTTCTGAAAAATTCAATGGAGATAACTATGCAGATTGGAAGAGAGGAATGATTTTAGCATTTTCGATGAAGAATAAGCTTGCATTCATAGATGGAAGCGTGGCTAAACCAGAACCTGGAGATCCTTTGTACCACGCCTGGGAAAGGTGTAACAATATGGTGATATCATACCTTCTGAGATCCATGGATAACACGAGTGTTATGTTCCTTGCGACTGCAGAAGAAATCTGGAAAGATCTTGAGGATCGTTATTCAGTTATCTCAGGTGCACAGTTCTATTCATTATTATTATCATAGTTTGATCCTTTTTGTGTAAGTTTTATTCACTGCATTGCGTATGATATATAATTTCGCTGATGACTCTGTTTTCCTTAATTAATCAGTTTCTCTTTCTTGATGAATTTAGCTTTCGCTTGAAGATTTTCAATCAAGTATTGAGTTTACTGTTGGATTTTTGTTTTTTTTAGCTCTATTAACATATTTTGATGATGATTTCATTAGTTCAATTACACATTATTATTATTATTATTATTATTATTATTATTATTATTATTATTATTATTATTATTATTATTATTATTATTATTATTATTATTATTATTATTATTATTATTATTATTATTATTATTATTATTATTATTATTATTATTATTATTATTATTATTATTATTATTATTATTATTATTATTATTATTATTATTATTATTATTATTATTATTATTATTATTATAGTTTGATCATTTTTTTTGTAAGTTTTATTCACTGCATTGTGTATGATATATAATTTTGCTGATTACTCTGTTTTCCTTAATTAATCAGTTTCTCTTTCTTGATGAATTTAGCTTTCGCTTGAAGATTTTCAATCACATTGTAATTTTACTGTTTTATTGTCGTTTTTCAGCTCTATTAACAAATTTTGATGATAATTACAATCTTAGAATAATTTAAGTTATGATTGTGTTTGAATATGTATGTATGATCTATGATGAATTTCATGTTTGGTACTATAATAAAATGTCATTAATTCTCTGCTTATTCTTTTTCTCGGTTGAAGTGATGACAGAGAATGAGATAGAGATACAATCATACAAGGTAATGTGAGGACGAAAATCGATAAACTGCCTCCCGTAAGTGGAAAATTGAATAATTATCGCAATTGATCTTTGATTCACTATAATATTCTTACTGAATTTCCTTTTGATTGATTTTTTTTTTTTAATTTTTTTTATTAGGATATATGGAGGAATATTGTTTTGAGATTGGATAGAAGCTCGATGTACAACTTGATATGTTCTGGGACTTGGATTGCGGATGTCATCATCTCCGATAACTCATTGTGGAAGGAATTGCTTCTTCGTGACCTCCGTATGACAATGCCAGTAGACGGAATTTCAGATTTGGAGGATGTGACTTGGAAGGATACATATGACACACTATATTCAAGGCAGCACCCCAGTACAATCCCATCTATGTATATGCTGACTGTCTAATGGGTATGACCTGACCTGACCTGAACAACCCTAAACTTGTACATTATTGCTTGTTAGTGATCTAAATAGAGTAAAAATTGTTGGCAGCTGGAGCCAGGCTCGGAGGTGTGATCATGTCATCAAGCGTATGGGTTGGAGCATTAGATCATGCGCTTAGTGCTGACTTGAATCAACATGGACACTTTGTGTCTAATCTCCTTCCAGGTTTATGGGTTACAGGTATATATTTATCTTAGTGTAATGTTATATACTAGTATAATAATATGAATTGGTTCCGGTTAGTTGTTAATTATGTAAGCTATGATGACACCTTAGCTTGGAGAGAACTCTCACCATTGCTGTATCTCTCAATCAACAATAGTTGGAGGTTGAGCATGTTGATGTTGTGCTGCATTTTTCAATAACATTAAGTGAGTGAGTGAGTATGCAAGCTAAGCTTGAGAAACATTAGAAAGATTAGTTTATTTGAGAAGAGAACAAATTAAATTAGTGCTTAACATAGAATTTGTAGTACTCTGTATAGTAATGAGATGAAGAGCCTTCTTATTCAATTTGAGATACTTCATAGATATAATCCTTGGAGAGATAGATAGATTGATATAATTTTTTATGGTAATATTACCTCACATATATAATTGACAGCTAACAGTTTTTTTTTTTTTTTTTTTCTTTTTTTCTTTTGAAGATGTCTATAATGGAATCTGCCCTTATTGTGAAGCTGTGTGTGACGAGACCATAACCATGTTATCCCTGTGGCATTCAAAGCTGCATCTGATGGATGGATTTGAGGAATTTTGTCCGGATATTATAGACATAAAACATACTGATAGTCGAAGTGGTTTCATAGTTGATCCATCAGCAGACTCTTTGGCTTTGGCTTTGTCTAATCTGCTGGATAGCCGTAGTATCAAGATAGATGGCCTGGGCTTGGAGTACATAGTGTCAGAGCAGGGATTAGCAGTTGAGTTCACTGATGATGAAGGTAATTACATGTTCAAGTTGTTAAACAATATATATGGTTATCATCATTTAGACATTTACAAATTATAATATAGCATCATTCCTAATGTTTATTTTCAGCAAAGAAATTAGAGACTGAGTTCAAGATCACAAGAGACAGCATGAATAGAGTAGTTGCAATTCAAATTCAGCATATTGGACATCATATTCCATCTATGAAAGATTAGATCGAGAGCTACACTGTACCAGCAGTGGGTCAAAACCAGAAATCAGGTTTAGCACACCTTAGGAGTTCAGTCTGCCATGAATAATTCGTCTTCTTAGTCTGAGACTATACGATCAGAGAAATTGGATATGAATATAGTTTCTGTGTGAATACTTGAACTGCTACTTTCCTCTATGATCGGCATTCTCTCTCTACGATATTACATTTCTTTCTTAGTAAATAGTAATGACATTGAATAGTTATTACAAACAATTACCTCATTTGACAGTGTATATATAACAAGTTTCTCTCAGAAAAGTACCTTACATTGTTGCTTGTTATTTTTGCTGTTGTTACACTCTACCTCTAGATAATCATCATCTAACAATTCAATATACGCATCAAGTAGTAAGTTATTTCTATTATTATTATAACCATATCAGATTTTAATTTAACTTTGCCAGATAAAAATTAAATTGTCAAGCTGAAATAGTTTGGGTGATATCTAGAAGAAAACTATTTAAGACTCTTGACTCTTCAACTTGAACCTTAAGAGCCAGCTAGCCCACACAAAACAAAAAGTCAAGTTGGAAACAAGAAGAAGACACTGACACCGCCACACAGGCAAGGAAACGAAGACACCCGCAAATGTAATAAGTCCATCATACCACGTCAGACATATCACATTGAAGCTTTGTAACAGAGTCTCCACGACCCAATTCTTCAAAATATCCATAAGCTATGTAGGCCTTTGGCCCCATATCTGGCATCCAAGATCCCTTGGGCAATTTGGTAACCAGATTTAATACTCCTTTTTCGTGGATGTGTGTACTCTTTAAATGGTAATGCACGAATAAATTCAGCACCATGGCGTGGCAATCGCTTCTCAAATTTGATAGTATGAGGCCGATCATTTAACTTCAGCATCACAGGCCACCCAGAACAATCAAATTGACATGTGGAATATCCTTTGAAGAATTGGTAAAGATTGGCTTCAACCTACAGTTAATTTTATTTCAAAAGTGAGCAAGAAGAGCTAACTGAAAATGAAATCAAAAGTATCAGCATATAACACGAAAAGGATATTAAATCAAAAACATCAAAATAGTTTATTTGTAATAGTAACAGAAATTAAGATTAGCCCAATACTAATTTCTACCCTAAAAGTCAAAAAATAATAAAACTCGTGTTTTTTAAAGTCCTAAAATGTCAACCAATGTGGGCGATGTTGGAATGAAAGACCAGTTAGATGGAGCAAAAAGGAAGAGGATGAAAAATTTCGGTATGGTTTGGTTTTCTTTTGAAAAACCGAATTTAAAACGGTGTGTGTAGAGACCTGATTGTGTCTCCCCAAAAGCCAAACTCAGTGATGAGTATCTTTCACGTCTTTTATTATCGAGTTAGGTAAAGAGTTGAAGAGTCTCGTGAATTTCCTTTAGCCTTGACCATTTCTAACCTTTCCTTAAATGTTTTAATCCAAAATCATTTATTTCGTGTCCTTAAATCCAAAATCATTCATTTCGTGTCTTTGAAAATCATTCATTTCGTGTCCTCTTTATAAAACGTCCAAACCTAATTATTTTGGTCCGTAATCCTGGTCCAATTATTGTGTAGTTGGATGAGGCTTGAAAAGAGCTTTCCAACGATTTGCATAAGCCCAAATCCAAATTATAACGAAGAAGTTATAGCCAAAATACTAAACCGAGTCTTACCTGCGACCCAATGACCATCTGGAGGGTCCATTAACCTTAACATCATTCCTAAACCAATTAGGATTTATTATAAGCTTCTAAAATCCTCTAGAAGGTTGTTTTCAGTCCTAAATCCCTTAGGATTTATTATTAGCTTCTAGAATCCTCTAGAAGGTTCTAATTTATCCAGTTTTTGAAAAGATAAAGATTTAAGAATTTTACTTCGGATAAAACACTTGTTTTTCAAGGATTTTAATTCTGATAAAATTAGAATACGTACGGAAATTCGATTAACCCAATTTGATTGAAAGTCGGATTCCGTGCGGATTCTATCTTCTAAAAGCATTGCTGAGCGATAGAAATATCGCGCTGCGATAAGCCTATCGCGTCGCGATAAGCTTATCGCGCGGTGATAAATCTATCGCGTCGCGATAGAAACCTGTTTTACTTGAGTCGGATTCTGGCTCTTTTCTGATCTTCAACCTTCTTTTTTCCCTATAAATAGAGGTCGTTTCACCCCGTTTTCAGTCATCAACAAGCTTGATCATCAACAATCATCATCTAATCCCCTCTCTAAGCTAAAAGCTTTTCTCTCTCTCTCTCTCTTTTTTCCTGCCTTAGCCTAGCCTAAACACATCCCAACACCTTCTTGATATCATACACCATACTTCCTTCACGAGCTTCGAATACTCCAAGCCAATCTCGTAGTTGCTTAGACCTTGACGTGAAAGGTTGATAGTTCTGAAGGTTTGGTCCCAAATCTATATTTCAATTCTTTGATTAGATTTATTGTAACACCCCCAGATTTCGAGTCTTTGTAAAACAATAAGAGTAACCTTTTTACCTTTCAAACCCAACCATCGAACCTTGGGTGTGTTACTGCTACACTTATTTTCCGTAGAAAACAAATGCAAAGCAAAACAAAATACCATTTTATAAACTAAGTGATCTAAGTGGCGGCAAATTAAAGTAGTCATTACATCCAAACTGTAACATTTTAAATAAAGTAAAAATAAATAAATAAATTCGGAAGTAAACTAAATTGTCTTAGCTACGTGATTATTCTAACGTCTCCTCACACGTAACCGAGTACCCTCTTACCAACCTGCAAAATAAATCGGAAACAAGGAAAAAGAGAAAAATCCCAAAATTAGATAAATTGAGTAATTCCAACTCCATCCCGTAAAATAAATAATTTTAGTTCGAAAACATCTTACACAACACAATTTCATCGACATTATAATACTAAGCCAAAATCAAGTTGTCACACAACAATTTATTACTTAGTTAAGAAAGGGAAAGAGAACGCCAGTAAGCCGGGACTAGTCCCTGTCACCACCTGCTTTACAGAGGGTCGTGCGCAAACCCAAATGGCCATAAATTAAACAGAATGTCCCTAGTGTGCACACCCCTCACTAATACTCATTAATTAGGAGGAAGACTAAACAGCAAAATACGTTAATTTAAACCAACTAGTAGCAACCATAACTACTAGTGGGCAACCTGCTCTTCACCCTTTCAGGTTTCATTTTCCTTCTTAATTTTAATGTACATTTAATAGATTAAATTGTCCGATCACATTGCACACAAGTATTGCACAAATCAATTTAATCCCAAGTAACAATGTTTTAATTTCAGTATCATTAGAACATAGTCATTTTACGTGACATACTAGTTACAACTCGTTTCCCAATAGGCCTTGGAGACCATCAATCACATATAATCATCCAATTCCCAAGATTTTAATTATAAAAAAAAAACTTATACGATACCAATTAATCAAATTTTCGAAAATATTTATACTAGTACACAGATATAGAAAACTAGTATATAATTTGATTCCATAATATCTTACAGTAACACACTCATCACATATAATTACACAAGCACATAGTTGGCACACAATATTTCAAAACAATTTCCTAACGGGATTCTAAAGATGATGGACATTGAAAATTACCTTGAGTTGCGCGTAAAGTCTCAAGGTAATTAACCTCCGAAACGTTCACCTAGTAGCCTTCACCGTCTACAAATAAACGGGTCTAAGTTAGTCTTAGTACACTAATAATCGAAATAGTTAGACCACATTACTGACACTTGTTAATATCCATTATAGTAATGAACCAATACTTCATCATTACGTAAGAAAGGGAAAAAAAAAGTAAATTGTTTTTTTTTAAAAGAAAAAAAAGAAAGAAAAAAAAAATCTGCAACACTTTAAAAGCTTGATAAGGTGATTAATTCATCTTTCCACCATTGATACTCGCCTACTATAATACTAAGAATTGTCTTACAGTTACGAAAAAAAAAAAAAACAAAACCCCTTTTAAATTTTGTTTTTGTTTTTGAAATCATACTCCTTAACTATGAATCGTAAGAAGCCATATAAAAAAAATATAACTCAAGGTCAATGAATGAAGACGTAGTTCGTAGTGGGTTGGCTGACAATTATTGTCAAGAAAGATGAAGGTGAAGGACCATGGCTTACCACTATACTCAACAATTATGGTTGGTATTGTAGCATATAATACAAATTAAAGAAGAATATGTTTAAGGAAAAAGAAAAAGTAAGCTTCGTGAATTTATAAAGTTTGGGTGGGATTGGGAATTTATAAATTTAGTGTTGTGAAGGTGGATTTATCCAGAAGTTCTACAACATATGGTTGGTATTGTAGCATATAATACAAATTAAAGAAGAATATGTTTGAGGAAAAAGAAAAAGTAAGCTTCTTGAATTTATAAAGTTTGGTTGGGATTGGGAATTTATAAATTTAGTGTTGTGAAGGTGGATTTATAATAGAAGTTCTACAAGGTAAGAATTGATTTTCAAATAAGTTTGTTGTTGATTTCAACCCGATAAAACCAACTCTAGGAAATCAATTTCTCTTCTTTTTTCTTTTTTTTTTTTCAAAGATCAGTTTTTGGAAATTATCCAAAATCAGTTTTTTTGTTTTTTTTAATAAATCCGAAAATAAAAATAATAATTATTAAAAAATTTACTATAATATATAAATTTGAAAAATAATTATAATTTAAAAGTTTATACTAGAAAAATCGTTATTAAATATACTAAAAAAAATTTGGGGTATTACATTTATTGTTTGATTTAATCTTTTCTTGAAGTTACTAACGTGTGTGTTGTTTTGATAAAAAGAAGTACGAGACATCAAAGTGAGTAGATCTTTTATCCTTATTCCTTGATTTTGATATATAAATTATGTTTAAGATATTATATTAATTCCTAGTATCACGTTAGGATGTCTTTATGATTTCTAGTATCAAGGATATGTTCTAATATTTCTAATATCATGCTTCTTGGTATCATGTTCAGGCTAAAGCTTTTATTTTTGTTATTTAGTGACATGCTAGGTTTTGTTATTAATCCGTTTAGTATCATGCCTAGGGTCTTGCTAATTATGCTTGAGGATATTATTATGATGATGAATTGTTGTGTCAATTATACATTGCTTGATTTTTCATGATTTATTGTTATTGCTTGATCACACCCTTTCTTGCAGGTTTAAAGGGAATTTGTACTTGAAATCACGCCTAATAAGATAATTAATAATTTGATTTAGGTTAATATGATTTTAATTCAAGTGATCACCAATAATAAATTTGATTGTGCATTAATAATCAACCAACATAGATTAAACAGGTTTAGGGCTAAC